CCACATCCCCGCCCCCTTGTCGCAACTATAACGCATTTCAAAATTCCCCCGCCAAACTCGTCCAGTAGCGCGTGACTCTGTATTGTAATCAACGCCCTCCCCTGATCTGGTCCACCGGGCCTGTGCCCCGAGTGCCGCGAGTGAAAGCGCTGAGTTGCAATCACTATGCCTGCTTGCCCCGCGCGCAACGCCTCTAGGCTTTTCCGCGCTGTTGACTTTATTCGTCCACCTGCCGCTTACCCCCTCCGCGCCTGAACTCCACTTACTGGCCGGGCGACAAAGGCCCTCCGCCTACGAAACGAGCTTTTGGTTTGGTCGCAGTTGTGTCGCTTTGGAGGAATCCGATCATGACTCGACGTTCAACATCGCAATGACGGACGCTCTTTTGAAACGAGAAAAGGACAGCAAATCAACCAAATTATGACAAATATTCTAGTCAGATGAGGAGATGCGGGTCATGACCTCTTCCATAATCATTCCGTAAAACCTTTGAATTGAGTATTCTACTATAGTCAAACCGGAACCTAGAGAAGGACAAAACGAGGGCCAAATTCCAAGCGGCTAAAAGAGAGAAACAAACAACCCGTGCTCTTTCGTAGCTGTGCCGTATCGTATTTACACGAGCCCGAGCCGGTTGGTTTGCCTATCGCCCTTGCCTGTCGTCCTTTCTCGCCCTCAGAGGGTAGGCAACCCGACCAAATCTATACTGCTTAACGGCCGTTTCTTTGCGAGCGCTGGGTTTGCATACTCCCATGTGTGCATTGATGCTCGCCCGGTGCAAGGCTCTGATCGTTACCTTTCGCCAAACGGGAACTTGTTTCCGAGAAAAAATATACCATGTTTCTAAAAAAGCTGTGATCGCCTCGTATAACTGTAGTTATACTGTACCGCGTAGGGCGTTTCTTTGATAGCACCGTACAGTATAGTATAACTATAGTTATGCGAAGGGAGCACAGCTTTTTCAGGAGCTTGGTATATTTCCTCTTGGAAACAAGTCCCTGATTAGCAAACGGTGACGTTCAGAGTCCTGCACCGGGCGGGCATCAATGCCTACATGGGGTCGAACGGCTCGTGGCAAGTGCGATGCACTTATTGGGCGCTAGAGACGAGCTGAGTCATATAGAGTGCAAGAGAAAAGAGATCTGACGGGCACAGATTGTTCTGTATTACGGTTCTGGTTCGGAAGCAGTGGGCTGCTCTGTTCCGAATCCCCCTCCCCAGCAAAAGCACTGTCCGGGCCACGGAAATAAATATCTTCGTACCTGTCGCAAAATGACTGTGTTGTGATTATAGTTTTCGTTTTTGTTGTAAGTGGATTGTTGAGTTGCTGCTAATTTATTTGTACTGTATGTAAACAATTGTTTTTGTAACTATTTTTAATTGGATTTTTATGTGGAATAAACTTGTTGTTAGTTTTAATTGACACCTCGCTGTTCCATTTCTTAGTTATTTGCTATCCTACGTCTCCTTTAGCTTTTTTCTGAAGCATAGTCTTTTATTTGTTCGTTAACATTACGCTTAGGGTAAGTCAGGGTAAGTTCCTGCAAACTGAACCTGAAAAGAAATCACATGTATCGGACCTCCTGCACCTTGTAAAGAGAATCAAAGTTTCATCTCTCGGCGAAACCCGGCGGTGACATCGGCCTTAGTTGAAACGACATTCAATAACGTTCCACGAGGCAACTCTAATTAGCGCCTGCCACGCGTCGGGTAGGCAAACCCGCCAGACAGCTGCGTGAAGACGGTGGCCCGCCCAGAGCGCCCGTAAGGACGGGAGCTACGGAGCAAGAGAACGTTTGGTACCAAACGTTGTCAAACGTTCTCTCGCGTTTTGTTAGTCGGAGTTAGGCCATCGTACTTTGTTCTATGAGGGTGCGTGGGTGGGGAATTTCGAGTGGCACGGCCACCATCGCGTAAGAAGACAAAAACAGAAGCTGTCATTAGATCGGTATAGCGACAAGAAAAGGGAAATGAACCACTGGTGCGGAGCAGGCCGTACACTCCGTGATCACGTTCAGTGCTCCCCTGTCCGGAACTCGGTGGTCTAACGCGCCAGGTGTGCGAA